CTGGTTTCCCTGAATCCCTTCACTAAATATTACCCTGCTCACACTCCAACAAATCGTCAGGTCCCAAGTACCATTCGTCTCCATTCACTCCTATCTAACACCCTCACGCACGCTTGCTGGAAGTCCAAGCCCCTTGCCCACAAAACCTCCTTTACCCACTCTCTCCAACCCTTTCGAGGACGACCCCTACCCCGCCTTCCTTCCCCTACAGATTTATATGCTTTCCATGTCATTCTACTTTGATCCATTCTCTCTAAATGTCCAAACCACCTCAACAACCCCTCTTCTGCCCTCTGACTAATACTTTTATTAACTCCACACCTTTTCCTAATTTCCACACTCCGAATTTTCTGCATAATATTTACACCACACATTGCCCTTAAACAGGACATCTCCACTGCCTCCAACCGTCTCCTCGCTGCTACATTTACCACCCAAGCTTCACACCCATATAAGAGTGTTGGTACTACTATACTTTCATACATTCCCTTCTTTGCCTCCATAGATAACGTTTTTTGACTCCACATATACCTCAACGCACCACTCACCTTTTTTCCCTCATCAATTCTATGATTAACCTCATCCTTCATAAATCCATCCGCCGACACGTCAACTCCCAAGTATCTGAAAACATTCACTTCTTCCATACTCCTCCTCCCCAATTTAATATCCAATTTTTCTTTATCTAAATCATTTGACACCCTCATCACCTTACTCTTTTCTATGTTCACTTTCAACTTTCTACCTTTACACACATTCCAAAACTCATCCACTAACCTTTGCAATTTTTCTTTAGAATCTCCCATAAGCACAGTATCATCAGCAAAAAGTAACTGTGTCAATTCCCATTTTGAATTTGATTCCCCAAAATTTAATCCCACCCCTCTCCCGAACACCCTAGCATTTACTTCCTTTACAACCCCATCTATAAATACAGTATATTAAACAACCATGGTGACATTACACATCCCTGTCTAAGACCTACTTTTACTGGGAAGTAGTCTCCCTCTCTTCTACACACCCTAACCTGAGCCTCACTATCCTCATAAAAACTCTTTACAGCATTTAATAACTTACCACCTATTCCATATACTTGCAACATCTGCCACATTGCTCCTCTATCCACTCTATCATATGCCTTTTCTAAATCCATAAATGCAATAAAAACTTCCCTACCTTTATCTAAATACTGTTTCATATATGCTTCAATGTAAACACTTGATCTAACACATCCCCTACCCACTCTGAAACCTCCTTGCTCATCCGCAATCCTACATTCTGTCTTACTCTAATTCTTTCAATTATAACCTACGTACACTTTTCCTGGTATACTCAGTAAGCTTATTCCTCTATAATTTTTACAGTCTCTTTTGTCCCCTTTCCCTTTATATAAAGGGACTATACATGCTCTCTGCCAATCCCTAGGTACCTTCCCCTCTTTCATACATTTATTAAACAAAAGTACCAACCACTCCAACACTATATTCCCCCCCTGCTTTTAACATTTCTGTCATGATCCCATCAGTTCCAGCTGCTTTACCCCCTTTCATTTTACGTAATGCTCACGTACCTCCCCCACACTTACATTCTGCTCTTCTTCACTCCTAAAAGATGGTATACCTCCCTGACCAGTGCATGAAATTACTGCCTCTGTTTCTTCCTTAACATTTAAAAGTTCCTCAAAATATTCTCGCCATCTACCTAATACCTCCATCTCCCCATCTACTAACTCCCCTACTCTGTTTTTAACTGACAAATCCATACTTTCCCTAGGCATTCTTAACTTGTTTAACTCACTCCAAAATTTTTTCTTATTTTCATTAAAATTTCTTGACAGTGCCTCTCCCACTCTATCATCTGCTCTCCTTTTGCACTCTCTCACCACTCTCTTTACCTTTCTTTTACTCTCCATATACTCTGCTCTTCTTCTCATAAGCTAACTTTTTCTCTTTTATCACACCCTTTACTTCATCATTCCACCAATCACTCCTCTTTCCTCCTGAAAAATATGTGCATGAATTCCAGGAGTACATAAACAGTGAAGGACTGAAACCTGAACAAGTGTTCAATTGTGACGAAACAGGCCTCTTTTGGAAGAAAATGCCAAAGAGGACCTGCATTACACAAGAGGAAAAGGCAATGCCAAGACACAAGCCTATGAAAGACAGGCTGATGATAATGTTCTGTGCTAATGCTAGTGGGGATTTCAAAGTGAAGCCATTACTAGTGTACCATTCTGAAAATCCCAGAGTGTTCAGGAAAAACAATGTTATGAAGAGTAAATAGTGTGTGTTTTGGAAATCTAATAGTAAGGCATGGGTCACGAGGGAAATTTTCGTCGAGTGGTTCAATGAAGTGTTTGGGCCTAGTGTGAAGGAGTATCTCCTGGAAAAGAAATTGGATCTCAAGTGCCTGCTAGTAATGGACAATGCACCTGCTCATCCTCCAAACTTGGATGACCTAATTTTCGAGGAGTTTAGGTTCATCACAGAAAAGTTCGTGCCCCTGAATACCACTCCTCTCCTCCAACCCATGGACCAGCAGGTTATTGCAAACTTTAAAAAACTCTACAAAAAAGTAATGTTTCACAGGTGCTTGACTGTGACCACAGACACTCACTTGACCCTAAGGGAATTTTGGAGAGAACACTTCAGCATCCTCCATTGCATAACCCTTATAGGTAAGGCTTGGGAGGGAGTGACTACCAGGACTTTGAACTCTGCCTGGAGAAAACTGTGGCCAGATTGTGTCGACAAGAGGGATTTTGAAGGATTTGGGACTGACCCTAATGAGCCTACGTCTGTTGTAAAATCAATTGTGGCACTGGGGAGTTCCCTGGGGTTGGATGTGAGTTTGGTCCTAGGATGTGGAAGAATTGGTGGAAGACCACAATGAAGAGCTCACCACTGAGGAGCTGCAAGAGCTTCAGCAGAAAAAGCAACACATCGCAGCTCAGAATCTTGCTGCAGAGGAGGAGGAAGAGAGATGGAAGAAGGTGCCTTCTTCAGAAATTTAAGAGATTTTTACTATGTGGGGTAAGATGGAAACCTTTATGGAGAAACATCACCCTAACAAGGTTGTTGCAAGCCAGGTTGGCAACATGTACAGTGACAAAGTCTCGGGCCATTTTAGGGAAGTGTTAAAGAGACGCCAGAAACAGAGCTCTCTCCACAGTTATTTTGCAAGACAGGACTCCAGAGACTCTCAAGGTGGTCCTAGTGGCATTAAGAAACAGAGAAGAGAAGCAACCCCAGAAAAGCAAATGGTACCTGAGGTGTTGATGGAAGGGGATTCCCCTTCCAAACTATAAACAATCCACTCTCTCTCCTCCTCCAGTCTCCCATACACTAAGAAGAATCTCCAATAAAGGCAAGTGTTATGCTGTTAATGTTTCATTCATCATTTCCCATTGTATTGTTTATGTACTACATGTATATTTCATGTAAAAAATTTTTTTGTTTTAATACTTCTGGGTGTCAGGAATGGATTAATTGTATTTACATTATTTCTTATGGGGAAAATTGATTCGTAAATCGTAAATTTCGTTTATAGTAACGGCTCCAGGAACGGATTAATTACGAAAAACGAGGGACCACTTGTTGTCTGGCATTTACTGCATATTTTATATGCTCTGATAATAATACTTGTGGAGCTGTGTGGTAGCCGGGTGGAGGGACATTACGTTTTCTCTTCTCAGCCATCAGAGAAAACGTGTATGAATCTGCGTTTGGCCCAGCCACTCCCCCACTCCGCTTTTGTTTACAATTTTCGGCATGAATTATTCATTACTTCTACCTTCGTTTATGATGGCATCAAAAGGTAGTTGTTAGAAATGATTAAATTCAGTGAACAAGGCATGTCGATGTTAATAATATGGCTCTGGGCCACAGTGTAGGTAGCCGGTAGGTGTAGCCCATGCGGGGCTACACCTACCGGCTACCTACACCGACTTCCTACAAATAAATACTCCTCACCTCTCTTCCTATATTAAGACTACACATATTTTAAGGTAAATAATGAGTGTACTGTATGTGTATTTTACCTCTATGGGATGTTGTAAATATCATATATTAAGTATGAGACGGGGAGCCAGGGCTACCTACACCTGGGCTACCTGCACCTGACTTCCTACAACTAAGTACTACTCACCTCTCTCCCTACATTAAGATTACAAATACTTTAAGTAATGAATTTACTGTGAATGTATTTTACTTTGTGTGTTTTTAATGTCTGGTTCTATTACTAACTTAATATAATTTAGTGTATACTTGTTGTCTGGCATTTATATGCATTTATAAATGGAAAAAAATGGCGTTCTGCCTTCCGGCGATGTCTGCTTTCCGGCGACAGCCTGGAACCTAACCCGCCGTACAAGTGGGGCCCTACTGTATGTGTATTTTACTTTTTTGTTGTTTTTTAATACCTAGTTGTATTGCTAACTTAATACATGTTAGTGTAAACTTGTTATCTAGTATTTATATGCACTTACAAGTGGAAAAAAAAGTGTTCCACTTTACAGCGATTTCTGCTTTATGGTGGTAGCCTGGAACCTAACCTGCTGAATAAGCGGGGCCCTACTTATAGACATTTGGAAATGTGGTGGATTACTATATGACTGATAAATTTTTGTCAAGGAATGCAGACTAATATTTTTAAAAAATTTCAGATACACAATAAAAAATTTCTGGATGAAATAAACTGATGGAATGAAAATACTCAGTGATGTGTTCTATCAAACTAGCAAACAAAATCTTCTCACATGAAAGTTAACAGATGTGCCTGCTTTCTTATCCATCATTTTTAATTAAGGGCTTCCAGCCAATCATAGCATCTGGTTTATGGCTGTACTATTTTAAGAGTAACTACTGAATTTATAAATATTGTGCAATAGTTACAGACAATATTCAAGTCGGTACTAGCTAAGTGTGCTTCACTTTAGTCAATTTTGAAATTACTGGAAATTTAATAGGTAAATAACATATGGTAAAGTACTATCTTACTGTAATCGGAGAGTCTCTTGTCATCTTGCAAAACACGTCCACAGTGAATAAGTCTCTGCTTGTCAGCTGGGATGTTAACAGATGATGCTATCCTTTCTTTGAACTGCTTCACAGTAATCTGAGGATTTTAAAATGAAAAATAAACAAAATAAAAAAAAAAAAAAAAAAAAAAAAAAAAAAAAAACTTTCTCATCTATACAAATCTTAGAACTACACTAGGACTGGTTGCAGTCAAGAACCAAGACAGTCAACTACGAAGACCTTAATCCCCTCCAACCACTCAAAATATCAGAAACGATAAACTGTATTTATTATGAAATACCTTTACATCATATTAAGAATAACTCAACATTGTGGCTGAAACAATTCATAACCAACCCACAAAGTGGAATGAAACATCAGCTGACATACCAGTCTTTCCCTGGGGTTGGAATACCGAAAGTTTCATCTTCATTTTGCAAGTTAATGGTCAGCTGTATCAGTTAACTTGGTAAAGATAATAAATCACATTAAGTCCCTGATCATAAGGCTAAACTAAGGTAGATTATCATATAAAAGGGAAAATGTTAAGCCTGCAGGGATCACGCAGTGACAGAGAGAAGCCACTCAGTCTTGATCCAAGTAAGAGGAAGGTAGTTAGAATTCTTTTGATCAGGAGCTGGCATTCACCAGGACCATGCACCCCATTTGAAGGTAAACAAATTGTAGAGTATTTTTGCTTACTACTTACATCATCTGGAACTGAATAATGATGATTCTGAGAATCCAACGTTTTCACAGTAACATCAATCATCTTGGCTGCTGATGAGTCCTGAAGAAATTTGGCAAGAATTAGTAACTTGGCCTCTCTATAATTAACAACAAGTCAATGAATAGTATATTCATGACAAGTGCACATCTCTACTACAAATAAGAACTGCTTCCACAACTGACACTGAACTAAATTTTGATGCCCTCTTAATGCACAAGACATTATTAAACAATACTGCCAAGTATAAAAAAAAAAAAAAAAAAAAAGCTAAAAGAGGTTATGAGATGAAATAAGGGTAGGGGATGTGTAACCCAAATATTTAGTAACACTGAAGCATACAAGTAAACAATATTTAAGTAAATCTAAGGAGGTTTTTGTAGTATTCATGGATTTAGAAAAGGCATATGAAAGGGTGAATAGGTGAGCAATGTGTCAGATATTGCAAAAGTATGTAATAGGTGGTAGGTTGCTGAAAGCAGTTAAGAGCTTTCTATGAGAGTGGTGATGCTCAGGTTAGGATATGCTGGAGAGAGGGAGATCATTTTCCAGTAAAGGAAGGCCTTCGACAGAAATGAATGTCATCATGGTTGTTTAACATATTTAAAGATGAGGTTATAAAAGTAGCAAATGCTAGGACATTGGGGAGAGATGTGGGATTAAAATATGCAATATTAATTCAAAATGGAAGTTGTCAAAGGTGCTTTAAGACAATGACACTTCTTTTGGGAGATTCTGAAGAGAAGTTGCAAAGGATATTAAAAGTGAACATACGAAAGAGCAAGGTGATGAGAGTAACAAATGATTTACATAATGAAAGAGTTGATATCAGATTGGAAGGAGAAAGTATGGAGGAAGTTAATGATTCAGATATCTGCAAGTGGATGTGTTGGCAAATGGGTACACGAGAGATAAGGCAAACCACAGAATTAATGAGGAAAAAAAAGGTGGGTGGTGCACTGAAGCATCTGTAGAGACAAAGAATGTTATCCATGGAGGCAAAAAGGGGGATGTATGAGAATATAGTGGTACCAATACTCTTATATGGGTGTGAAGCATGACTTGTGAATGTTGCAGCAAGGAAGAGGCTGGAGGCAGTGGAGAAGTTGTCTGAGGGCAATGTGTGGTGTAAATATTATGCAGAGAAATCATTACTTGGAGGTGCTAAAAGAATTATCTAGAAGGCTGAGGAGGGGGTTGCCGAGATAGTTTGAACATTTAGAAAGGCTGAAGCAATATAGAATGACTTGGAGAGTGAATAAATCTGTAGTGGAAGAAAAGCTTGAGATTTACAACACCTTGAAACACATCTAATGTTGTAAGAAACTAGTGTAGAGTTAAACATTAAAAACAATAAATAAACTGAAAAACAAATAATTTGAAGTTATTACAGTGGAACTTCAGTTGTCCAACGCACTACTTCTCGAATAAATCGGTTTTTGAAAAATGAATTTGAGAAAAAAATGTCCTGGTTTTCATACATGATCTTGGTTGTCGACTGACAACACTCCCAAGGTCAAATTTAAAAAAAAAAAAAATTCATGAAATGATAGAGAACCTTTTTCTGAAGGTAATGAAACCAAAAGTATGACATCTGATGGGAAACTTACGGAATTACACTATTGGGAAGCTAGCAGTCTCAGGGATATTTACACATCAGCGATTTTGCCTAATTTGAGCCCTATTTTGGGTCAATTCCTTTGCTCCAGTCAACCAAACCTGTAGCTATTTCACTAGAACTCCTTTCGTTCTATCGACTGAGTACAAGAAACTGCCCATTTACCCATTTCAATTACAGTGGACCCCCGGTTAACGATTTTAATCCGTGCAAGAGGGCTCATCGTTATGCGAAATAATCGTTATGCGAATTAATTTTCCCCATAAGAAATAATGGAAATAAAATTAATCCGTGCAAGACGCCCAAAAGTATGAAAAAAAATTTTTTTTACCACATGAAATGTTAATTTTAATACACACAAACTGAAAAAGGCATGCACAATTACATGACACTTACTTTTATTGAAGATCTGGTGATGATTGATGGGATGGGAGGAGGGGAGAGCATTATCTTCTTACTGTTTAGAAGGGGAATCCCTTTCCCATTAGGACTTGAGGTAGCAAGTCCTTTTTGGGGTTACTTCCCTTCTTCTTTTAATGCCACTAGGACCAGCTTCAGAGTCACTGGACCTCTGTCGCACAACAAATCTGTCCATAGAGCTCTGTACCTCCCGTTTCTTCAAGACTTTCCTAAAATGGGCCATAACATTGTCATTGAAATAGTCACAAGCACGGCTTGCAACAGCTTGTCAGGGTGATTTTCATCTATAAAGGTTTGCAGTTCAAACCACTCTGCACACATTTCCTTAATCTTTGAAGTAGCACAATGGATTCCACAACTGGCCATAGGCTTCTCAGGGTTAGCCCCAAACCCTTCAAAATCTTTCTTAATTTCCATACTAATTCTCACCCTTTTTACCACAGGGTTGGCACTAGAAGCTTTCTTGGGGCCCATGGTCACTTATTTTCCAGAAACCACCCCGAAAACACTGTAATAATACGAAATATTCCGAGTGTATGCTTGGATGTTACCGCGGAGGCTGGCTGGTAAACAATGGGACGGCCGGCACATGTGAGGGCACATTGGACGCGTCTCGGACGAAAATCGGTATGCGGGTTTTTAATCGGTATGCGGGGCAAAAATTTTGCGATAAAAGTAATCGTTATGCGGAAAAATCGCTATGCGATGCCATCGTTATGCGGGGGTCCACTGTACTAATTTGGCCAATTTCACACAAAATCCAAGAAAAGCCAATTTCAAAATAGGGTCCAGAATAAACAATGCAGACATTCCTGGCACTAAAATAACATTTTCTCTGTTCATTAGTCACGTCTCCATTTATTGTTTTAACCTGCTTACTTTTAGCCCTAGCCATGGTTCCAATGAATAAAAGAAAGGCTTCTCATTATGTAAAGCACCTACACAGTACATTAGCCATTAAAGATAAGGTGGCTTTGAAGCCACTGTCGGTTGCCAAGAGCTCAGTCTCATGAAGCAGGAGAATATGCTTTATTATTACGCTAATATCAACACTACAGCTTATTTGCCTTCCATCAACTGATCTAATATGACAGTAAGAAACAATATAATAACATAAAACATGTTAAATACTTCAAATGAATAATATTTGCATAACACCGAGCAGTTCGACGGAGTATGAGAGGATATGGTATACAAATTACCATTCTCCACCCTGTCTGGGCTTATACGGTTATTAGAGAAAACGAGTGTAGCAAGTAACTGTATATACATTGTACTGCACCATAACACTGAAATAAAACTTATTTGTCTCCATATCATATCAAAACCCCCACGCAGCGCGTATGTGTAGAGAACCTAGGATAAACCAAAAAAAGTCAACATGGCTTATTTTTAGTACCTGGCTTGGGTTAGCCATATATGATTTTTGGTAAATATTCGATTCCCAGCCAGGGTATAAACATTAGGAGTGTTTCTTTACACCTGTTGTCTATGTTTAACCATCAGTAAATGGGTACCTGGGTGTTAGCCGACTAGTGTGGGTGTTATCCTGGGACACTGACCTAATTCTCTTGAAATACTCTGCATAACAAGTGGCTTTCTATACAGTAGTATGTCACTGATGTCAGCTAGGCCTGTATACCTTGTACATGTACGTAGTAAATAAAGATATTATTATATTATTATGTTTTTCTCAGTTGTTTGTTGGGTTATCTTATTCAAACTTGGGCAATATATGATGGAAAGATACTTCTTAACATACACCAAAAATGAAAGGAATCAGACCAAAAATAGCGGAGTTCACTTCTCAGCCATTAGCGGCCGCTTAGCGGTATATTTTTGTATGATTTTTATGGTTATATTCTCATTTTTTCAGTCTCATTTGATAGAATGAAAGATATATTACAGAAATAGATATGATTTTGATTGCTTTCATGACGAAAAGTACCTTGAAATTGCGCTCACAATAGCGAAAATGTTCTATTCTTTAGCGAAGCTCAAGAGTAAACAAATGACATCACCATCCAATACCTGTCCACCTGCCAGTCCAAATTCCAATACGTAGTCAAGAATGGGTTGACATTATTTATACAATTATTACAATAATTCAGCAGTCTGCATAACAGTAAATCTTCTATTTTTTTGTGTGAATAAAAATTCCAAATGAAAAGCAAGAGTAATATAAGAGGGGCATGTAGCCATGACTAATGAACAGAGAAAATGTTATTTTAGTGCCAGGAATGTCTTCATTGTTTATTCTGGACCCTATTTTGAAATTGGCATCTGTTGAAATTTGTGTGAAATCGGCCAAATTGCCAATTTCTGACCACTTAATTGGGTAGTTGAAATAAGTGAATGGGTGGTTTCTTGTACTCAGTTGACAGACTAGAAGTAAGTAAGTTTATTCAGGTATACACAAATACAGTGACATAGATCATCATACATAGCAGTGTATGTATAGAGAACCTAGGATAACCCAGAAAAGTCAGACAAAGTGACTTATTTCCAGTACCTGGCTTGGACTTGCCATATATGATTTTTGTTAAATATTTTTTTTTCTCTCGGTTGTTTGTTGGGCTATCTCATTGAAACTTGGGCAATGTATGATGGAAAGATGCTTCTTAACGTACAACAAAAATAAAAAAGACAGACGATAAATAAGGGAGTTCACTTCTCAGCCATTAGCCGCCTCTTTGCAGTATACTATTTTCATATGGTTTTTATGATTGTATTCTCATTTTTTTGGACTCATTTGATAGAATGGAAGATATATTACAGAAATAGACAATTTTGATTGCTTTCATGACGAAAAGTACCTTGAAATCGAGCTCAAAGTAGCGGAAATGTTCGATTTTTGCCGACGTTCAGTGAACTGTGCAAGTCAAGTTGGTTAATTTTATTAAGTGTACAGTGGTCCCTCAATAATCGTCCATAATCTGTTCCTGGAAGTGGGGCTATTATCGAAATGGACAATTTACGAATCAATTTTCCCCATAAGAAATAATGTAAATTCAATTAATCCATT